ATATAGGTTTTTCTTCCGATCTTGATTCATTTTCTGGATTAAACGATTATGCTTGCAATTATCATCCATATAGACGTTTTACGAAATCACTCAGTTGAATCACACGGATCATAAGCATCCTTACTCTAAGACGATCAAGACAGAACTAACAAACTAAATTCACAGCAACCAGTTTCTACCGAAAACGTCACTACCTATCATCCGCGTCATCATTCCATTCGTTCATTATATCTTTCACACCAACATTCGTTTGCACCAACACACCCTGATTAAACACACATAATAACATTACCCCCCTCCCTCGAAAAGCTAATTATATTAGCTGAAAAAACTCACTGATATTCCAACTCCAATATTTACAGGGTTTTATATTCTTTCATCTCATTTTTCGTTAATCATTGGCATTTATCTAATCCTTTACCTCCTATCAGTACAAATAACTGTTGTAACCTCAGTTAGAACAGTCGGAGTGGCTAGATTGGAGGGTGATAATGTTAAATCGAAATGTTAAGAACTTACGAAAACTATGACAAGGCTTTGTATATTTAAAACTATATACATGTATACATATGAAAACATTTTTAAAACGTATTTCTACTGCAGCACCAGTTATTCTATTGTTAAAATATTCTACTCCGCTACCCATCAAATTTTCACCTTTTACGCAGACAGCGACAATCTTCAAATGTATAAAGACAATGGTGTTCTACTATAGAAAGTATGTTTTACGTCAATATCCTCATATTTGTACTAATGTAAAAAATTATAATGGGAAAGGTTCATTGAATTATACAATATGTATAATGGTATGATTAACCAAAACAGTTCACAATGGTTAATCGACCAACAAGTTAGACTGCGTGAACAAAGTCACTCACATATTATTATAATCAATAAAATATGTTTTATAACAATATTTTGCGATATGCTGCCAACTATGTGTGATTCATTATATTAGGATTTTATCTGCATATGTTCACTAAAGATGAAAGATATGAAAGATAAAACAATGGCCTCTAAATAAAACTGGAGAGAATACACACGTTCAAACTAAAAACACTTCAAACGACATCCAAGAAAAATGTATCGAATACAATAAAAATTTACTATGTGCTGTCTTTGCATAGCTACAAACACTACTATGATGAATATACATTTCAAAATATGCAAATATTCTATACATTAATATTATTTTCTAAATTAGAATTAATCGAAAACAAATTTAGAAACCTTGTGCACAAGACAAAAGTTAAAAAAAAATAAACTTACATTTTGCATGTAAAAAATTGTTGGCAGCACTAGCGCGCGAAAATTACACTTCCCACTGGTATCGTCTTACATGAACCGAACAAAACAACACGTGCATCAAGATAAGAATGTGGGGATCTACGTTCTACACTCACAGCTTGTCCTTGAGGTAATAGTTTTTTAGCGTGTGAGAAGGTAAACAAAATTATATAACATAGTTTTTGTTTCACCCCGCATCAAGTAGGGCAGAGGGTTTCAGTCATGAGAACTTTAAAATTACGGTAAAACTGCTAACATAAAGTAATCGTGCCATCAAGATTAATCTAAATTTAATTGTTAAAAAATATCTGGCAAATGTAATAGTGCAATTTTTTAACACAATCAGAATCTGGACGTGAGTCATGTAATTAGAATTGTAACCTAGGGGCTAGTCATGTGACCAGCAAATGAAATGTGAAGTTGAATAATGTGACCAGATTCTAAGATGTGGGGGTGAGTAGTGTGACCTACACCCAAGATTTTCTGGTGAGTCATGTGATAATTTTTCTGATATGTGGGGTGGGCCATTTTATCAGTATATTATTTATGGTGAGGAGTATTATGGCTAGCATCTGAGATAGTTTTTAAACATAATTAAATTATATAAAAAATATGTGAACGCTTAACAAGCTACACAAATATATATGTTGCTCAGCTTTTTTTTCATGTGAGATGTTGTTATAACTGTATAATTCATAAGACAACAATTACTAATGCCCCACATAGAGAAGATAAAAATGTTTATTTTACTTTGGCAAATCCAAACTACAATTATAGCTCTTTACTGAATTGTATTTCATTCGTGCGTTTAATAAAAAATAAACATTGTGTGTTTGTAAGCTTGTTGCAGTATCAATATTAAACACCATGTGAAGGTTTACTGAAATTTGTTGGGTTATTTCTAATATCTTCTGGTAAAAATGTATTTATTGTTTCTAAATATCAAACTATGCATGATTAGTATCATAATGAATTCAGTAGGCATGAAAAATTATAAAATATTTTTAAAATATTTTTTAATTTTTATTTGCATCTTTGTAGAATGCGTATAGAGAAAGTATTGTGATCGTGCACAAAAATAACTAGAAATTTTGACAGTTTTCACCGTTTTACACCTCAGTCCTTCATCACATCCGGAGTATAGAGGACGTATTTAAATCGGGAAAAAATTATGAATCCAGATATATCAAAATGTTGGCGTTTTATGCGTAATAAAAGTAGGAAAAACTGGACTTTGCAATTCTATCCGTATGTCTGTGTGTGAGTATTTGTGTCTGTAAACACGATAATTTGAGTATCATTACAGATAGTTTGATGAAATTTCATATATAAGTATTGTATCAAATGTATTGTTCTGTATCAAATTTTCCAAATTTCCGGTAACCAAAAACGGAACTTATTCTACTTCCAATGTTTAATATGCCTATAACCGGAGTACTATTTCATATAGATAGACGAAATGTCACTTATAAGTAGTATATGTCTAATCTTCTGTCAATTTTTGATTTAATTCCGTTGACCTGAAGTGGTAATTTACGCTATTTCCGATTTCTAAAGATAAACGCATATACATTTATAAAGTACTAATAATATTCCGCACTTTTATATACACACTCTTTTTTGTTCACTTGGTGTGCAATTCTTTTTTCTACGAGAACTATTCAATTTTAAAAAGGTTAAGTAATTATAAATGAATTAAAAATCATGTCTATATCGTGATGTGCTACATCCAATAGGGTTATAAAAGAATATTCGAGAAAGTTTAGGGGAGATCACTCCCGATTTTTTTCGTTTGGATATAAACACATCTGTTTGAAATAAATACATAAAATCAACGTAATCTCTTAGTCTAATTGTCACTAAAACATTTTCTTGTTATATTTTCATATTCTATATTTTTTATAGATTTTGATAACCACTTTTGTTATTGGGGAAGATTTAAAAAAAAATATTTTGACACAAATTCTTACTGTAGGGTCAGGGATTGTCTTGACATGTTCACACTCGTATGTTTGTTATGTAAATCTCAACGCCAGCACTTTGGTGATATAATGTAGACGGCTGAGCTCTTATCTTAATGCTTTTTTTTTACTCGTTGCATGTCACGTGATAATGTGTGAAGCTGAGTTCTCACACCCAGGCATATTTCTTTAACAAAAAAAAGTCTCGGTGTATTCAAGTCCAGTGGTTCTCAAAATGTCACTGGTTAACTTTTTATTTACATCTGTTGTATTGTGGTATTATGACGAACCGCAGGTTACTAACTCATCTTAAAACTACTTTGTGTGTAATGGTTATTTTTGAGGTAAGATAATTTTTTAGAGGCAAACTTTCTGCCTTATATTATGTAGTTATACTTTAATTATATTTTTTAAAAAAATTCATATAAAACGTTTTAATAACAAGCTTTTATGTAATAATGCAGGAAATAAATTATAGACTACTATTTAAATAACTATAAAGAAAAGCGTGGGTCACTTTAGTATCTATTGGATACCTTTACTAATGTTAAGGAAGACACCAACGCTTTTCTTTATAGTTATTTAAATAGTAGTGTATAATTTATTTTCTACTTTTTAGTGCATTAGTACATAAAAGCTTGTTATTAAAACGTTTTTTTATGAATTTTTTTCAGTACTTTACATGTTTTATTTACAATAGTGTTAAATGACTAAAAACCATTGCGCGTCTATTGAACGTGATGGCGCAGCTATTGAACCTGATGGCGCAGCTATTGAACGTGATGGCGCGTGTGGTGTGGTTGGATAGACATGCCTACTAATTCGGTCCAAATTTTAATTAATTCATTAAAAAATTAATTAGGCATCCAATTAAGTCAAATTAGTTTCAGATTACATTGTCTTCATGTCTTGACCCACGTGCCAAGGGTGAATCGTATCGGTCAAGTAGAACTGTCCGAATTTTTACTCCGGCGTTTCGGTCTAGAGAGACTGACGACAGACTGACTAGGAAGTGAGTTAAATGAAAGCTTGTAAAAATCTCCTTAGTCTCCATGTTTCTTCTTAGTGTATACATTTATAATGAGCTAATTGACTTACATACCTTCAACACGGCAATGTTTAAAGTAATGATTTGCTCAATAAAAATCAAATGCTATTCAGTAAAGTATTAATGATAACGTATTCTTTTTAATAAACATGATGTAAGTGCTAAATTAAATAATACAACAATACGACACAATACGGTCGTCCTTTCATTTAACTCCAAACATTATTCAGGGCACTGTTCAAACATTTTTAACTTCTCATATTTATCATTACACCACAAGCCCTCGTCCCTAGCCGCTACTAACAAAAAGCTTCTCACAATCGTTAATTTCAGCTTTTATACCCGCATTAGACCTGGGTATAGCAATACATAAAAATGGGGGTAGCTACACAACGGGGTTAACTCAACTCTTACACGCCTCTCCCGTACGTTCTAGACTATTCTAACCTATTCTAATCTAACCTACAAATTACCTGTAACAACCTAGAAATTTCTTTTATAAAATAAAAGACGGGCTTTAAATATGTAGCCATTTTATTTGATTTGAGATCCGCTAACTATATCTACGTTTCAGCATATTTTTTATGTGGAAATTCGGAGTAAGCGATTACCACACGTTTTTATAAACAAGTGTTAACGACTTTTCTTTGTCTTTAACGAAACTTTGTGGTATAAATAGACGGCGATTTCCTCACAAGAAAACAGAAGCAGCGGTTTAGAGAAGTCTCTAGTTCGTGTGATACAGAACTACACAACTCTACAATGTCTTCTATTTTATTGACGGCTCTGTTGTTTGTAAATATCATGTTCACCTGTGGTAAGTACAGTTGTATATAACTGCAACGCAAATGTGATGGAGATATTTAGTTTTAATTATCTGTGGTTTTTTTTAGGTAACAATTGTTTGTTTTTATTTCCACGTATACGAAGTATAGAGGAAGTATTGTAATCGTCCAAAAAATCGAAATCGATATTTTCACGAATCTTTACGTTTTACTACAATAGTCGGAAAAACATAGTTTTGCAAATTTATTTGTGTATGTGTGTATGTGTGTATGTGTGTATGTGTGTATGTGTGTATGTGTGTATGTGTGTATGTGAGTATGTGTGTATGTGTGTATGCGTGTATGTGTGTATGTGTGTATGTGTGTATGTGTATATGTGCGTATGTGCTTATGCGCGTATGTGCGTATGTGCGTATGTGCGTATGCGCGTATGTGCGTATGCGTGTATGTGTGTATGCGTGTATGTGTGTATGAGTGTATGCGTGTATGCGTGTATGCGTGTATGCGTGTATGCGTGTATGCGTGTATGCGTGTATGCGTGTATGCGTGTATGCGTGTATGCGTGTATGCGTGTAGGCGTGTAGGCGTGTAGGCGTGTAGGCGAGTATGCGTGTATGCGTGTACGCGTGTACGCGTGTATGCGTGTATGCGTGTATGCGTGTATGCGTATATGAGTGTATTAGTGTAGTCGTGTAGGCGTGTAGGCGTGTAAGCGTGTGCATGTGTATGTTTGCATATATGCGAATGTGTGCATGTGTATGTGTGTATGTGTGTTTGTGTGTTTGTGTGTATGTGTGTATGTCTGCATGTGTGCATGTGTGCATGTGTGTATGTGTGTATGTGTGTATGTTTGTGTGTGTATGTGTGTATGTGTGTATGTGTGTATGTGTGTATGTGTGTATGTGTGTATGTGTGTATGTGTGTATGTGTGTATGTGTGTATGTGTGTATGTGTGTATGTGTGTATGTGTGTATGTGTGTATGTGTGTATGTGTGTATGTGTGTATGTGTGTATGTGTGTATGTGTGTATGTGTGTATGTGTGTATGTGTGTATGTGTGTATGTGTGTATGTGTGTATGTGTGTATGTGTGTATGTGTGTATGTGTGTATGTGTGTATGTGTGTATGTGTGTATGTGTGTATGTGTGTATGTGTGTATGTGTGTATGTGTGTATGTGTGTATGTGTGTATGTGTGTATGTGTGTATGTGTGTATGTGTGTATGTGTGTATGTGTGTATGTGTGTATGTGTGTATGTGTGTATGTGTGTATGTGTGTATGTGTGTATGTGTGTATGTGTGTACGTGTGTACGTGTGTACGTGTGTATGTGTGTATGTGTGTATGTGTGTATGTGTGTATGTGTGTATGTGTGTATGTGTGTATGTGTGTATGTGTGTATGTGTGTATGTGTGTATGTGTGTATGTGTGTATGTGTGTATGTGTGTATGTGTGTATGTGTGTATGTGTGTATGTGTGTATGTGTGTATGTGTGTATGTGTGTATGTGTGTATGTGTGTATGTGTGTATGTGTGTATGTGTGTATGTGTGTATGTGTGTATGTGTGTATGTGTGTATGTGTGTATGTGTGTATGTGTGTATGTGTGTATGTGTGTATGTGTGTATGTGTGTATGTGTGTATGTGTGTATGTGTGTATGTGTGTATGTGTGTATGTGTGTATGTGTGTATGTGTGTATGTGTGTATGTGTGTATGTGTGTATGTGTGTATGTGTGTATGTGTGTATGTGTGTATGTGTGTATGTGTGTATGTGTGTATGTGTGTATGTGTGCATGTGTGTATGTGTGTATGTGTGTATGTGTGTATGTGTGTATGTGTGTATGTGTGTATGTGTGTATGTGTGTATGTGTGTATGTGTGTATGTGTGTATGTGTGTATGTGTGTATGTGTGTATGTGTGTATGTGTGTATGTGTGTATGTGTGTATGTGTGTATGTGTGTATGTGTGTATGTGTGTATGTGTGTATGTGTGTATGTGTGTATGTGTGTATGTGTGTATGTGTGTATGTGTGTATGTGTGTATGTGTGTATGTGTATATGTGTGTATGTGTGTATGTGTGTATATGTGTATGTGTGTATGTGTGTATGTGTGTATGTGTGTATGTGCGTATGTGCTTTTGTGCGTATGTGCGTATGCGCGTATGCGTGTATGCGTGTGTGTGTGTGTATGCGTGTATGCCTGTATGTGTGTAGGCGTGTATGTTTGTATGCGTGTATGCGTGTAGGCGTGTAGGCAAGTATGCGTGTATGCGTTTATGCGTGAATGTGTGTATGCGAGTATGCGTGTATGCGTGTATGCGTGTATGCGTGTATGTGTGTATGCGTGTATGAGTGTGTATGGTTGTATGTTTGCCTATATGCGTATATGCGTACGTGTGCATGTGTATGTGTGTATGTGTGTTTGTGTGTAAGTGTGTATACATACATACATATATATATATATATATATATATATATATATATATATATATATATATATATATATATATATATATATATACACTATTTTTAAAAAATCCTATCAGTATTCTTACACAATTTCTTATCTAAAACCCTATTAATATTCTTTTAAATAGAAAATAACACAAGATTGACACCAGGTTATTTCTGTAAAAATAAAAATAAATGTATGTCTTTAAACTATAAACATTGCTACAACTTACAGATGTTAAACATCAATTACTCCCCGGACATTCCCCTCCGACATTACCCCCTGAGAGGGTTAGGGTTACGGCTAGGGCTAGGGCTAGGGCTAGGGCTAGGGCTAGGGCTAGGGCTAGGGCTAGGGCTGGGGCTAGGGCTAGGGCTAGGGCTAGGGCTAGGGCTAGGGCTTGGGCTAGGGCTAGGGCTAGGGCTAGGGCTAGGGCTAGGGCTAGGGCTAGGGCTAGGGCTAGGGCTAGGGCTAGGGCTAGGGCTAGGGCTAGGGCTAGGGCTAGGTCTAGGGCTAGGGCTAGGGCTAGGTCTAGGGCTAGGGCTAGGGCTAGGGCTAGGGCTAGGGCTAGGGCTAGGGCTAGGGCTAGGGCTAGGGCTAGGGCTAGGGCTAGGGCTAGGGCTAGGGCTAGGGCTAGGGCTAGGGCTAGGGCTAGGGCTAGGGCTAGGGCTAGGGCTAGGGCTAGGGCTAGGGCTAGGGCTAGGGCTAGGGCTAGGGCTAGGGCTAGGGCTAGGGCTAGGGCTAGGGCTAGGGCTAGGGCTAGGGCTAGGGCTAGGTTTTGAGATAGGGATAGGGCTAGGGCTAGGGCTAGGGCTAGGGCTAGGTTTAGAGATAGGGATAGGGCTATGGCTAGGGTTGATTTTAGTTTTGTGTTACTTTTTAGGCTTAGGCAGATGCTTTGGTTTGGTCTTTTTCTTAATGTTTAGGAATGAGATAGTTTATAGTTATAGACTTCTAGGTAGGATTCAAACTTGATAGGGTAAGGGTAATTCCCCGGTAGGGGGTGGGGTGGAATTAAATGGTGTGCCCCCCCCCCCTCCCCGCATTGTGTCTGGCGGCACTGAAAATTGAGAGGTAGGAAGTTGCTGGATGAATTGTTTGCGTACTTTTTCTTTGGAGTATCGACCTCTTTATGGCTTTGCAACAGAATTAGTAGCCTTTTCCTCTACATTTCCTTAATGTTGGTTCATCTTCTAATATATTCTTCTCTAAATCCTGACTCCAATTAAATCTATGCGGATTTTTTCCACAATGGGTTCCTTCTGGGTCCTGATAGTTGATGCCAAATATTTGTTTAAAGAGTAGTCACTCCTTTGGAATAATAATAAATAATTTACACCTCCTTTTGAATCAGTTTCTGAATTGTGTAACTCTAGTGTTCTTCTTTGATGATGGTTTTAATCAAGTTTCTTTTAAAACTGTTCTTCAGGCGAGTATACATCAAATATTTTGTACATGCATGAATTGTATTTTTATTTTAGTTATCCAAGTTATTGCTCTATGCAAACGTTTAGGCTTGATAATTTTAGTTTTAACTTGACAATCAGTTTTCTCTAACTCAAGACGTTTTCATATGGCTAAAAGCTTCTCTTGCCTTTCCAAATTTTGGCTTTTTTGTCTGCACCTCTCCGTGCTATATTTTTATTGTTTGTCCTGCCTTGGTCGTGGCAGATTTTATGCTTTAGATATATTTATCTTTCAGTTATATAGGAGAGATTTTTTTTCCTTTTTTCTATACGATTCTGTTTTTTTCCCTATAAACTTGCCTTTAGAGTTGTAGATATTTTGGTTGCTTTTTTCCCTATTGTACTTATTATTGCTTGGGTGAGATAAGACGAGATATTCTACAAAGTCTTTGTCATCAAATTGTTATCAGTGAGTCCGTGGTATATACTTTCTTTTTTACTCTGTTGCAATTCTCATGATCCAATCTTCGGCAAGATGGAACAACGCTAGAGACAATAGTCGACCAGTCTCATTCTTATCTTTATCTTTTTCTAATGCGAAACTCTACACTTTAATTCCGTGTAAGACTATGCATTTCTTTGATACGTTGCTCAATTATATCTGAGTATCCTAACAGCGTATGTGCCTTTCAACAAAGAATGTTGTTTATTTACTCATGAGAGTTCTACTCCGTTGAGCGGTTTTTATCAACATACCATATTTTATCAACATACCATATTTTATCAACATACCATATTTTATCAACGTACCATATTTTATCAAAATACCATATTTTATCAACATACCATATTTTATCAACATACCATATTTTATTAACATGCCATATTTTATCAACATACCATATTTTATCAACATACCATATTTTATCAGCAAACCGTATTTTATCAACATACCATATTTTATCAACATACCATATTTTATCAACATACCATATTTTATCAACATACCATATTTTATCAACATACCATATTTTATTAACATACCATATTTTATCAACGTACCATATTTTATCAACATACCATATTTTATCAACGTACCACATTTTAGCAACGTACCATATTTTAGCAACATGCCATATTTTATCAACATACCACTTTTTATCAACATACCATAATTTATCAATATACCATATTTTATCAACATACCATATTTTATCAACATACCATATTTTATCAACATACCATGTTGCAGATGACCAGCCTCACAATATTATAAGACTATCTAAGATGTTATTAAATGCAGCGTTTAAACTTTATTTTGGAAGTTTACACGCGGTTTACTTACATTCATAAAGCGAGGAAGAGAATATTGCTGAAAGCGCTCTCACTTCATCGACTGAGGTCATTGAAATAGGTTAACTCTACTGCACCATTGACCATCAGGATCGCAAAAAGGTTAACGGTTGTGCTTGTACAGTAAAACGAGTGAAGGGTCCAAATATAAAGTGACAATTTTTGACAACAATAACGAAAAAAAAAGAATTCCCTTTAAATTACTGCATCGAAGTGCTATAAGTACACGATCGATCAAATATATTATATAATTAATGTACCTTGTACAATCGATCAGCATATTATAATACCGCAACGAATTAGCATAAACTGCATTTGGTAACGGAACATCCTTAATATATTATTAACATGTCAGTATTATGTAGTATTACACTTATAATGTGTGTATATATTGAAATTGTAATAATTTATAAGATGCTCCAGAGATGTAAAGATGGAGTACGTGATGTGACCGTTTAAACGTTACAATATAGGCAGACTAGTCTTATATTGCCAGAAATATTTTTTGCCTCAAGCTGACAGAAATGTTAAGCTGTCTTACAGTGATGAGAAGCAGTGTAGAACATCTGTGTGTGATCGATCTTTTGTCTATTGGAATTAAAACAATATAAATGCTTTAACAATGGGATACATGTTTATTTAAAACTTATACTTATATAAATAATAACTTACGGTGATAAAAATTTTTTTCAAACAAACACATAGACATGATGGTAATTGGAGGGATATTATTGCTTTTTGTTTCTCAATTTAAAGCAAACTTAGCCATATTTTATGCTTACAAGTTTTTATAAAATACTTATATATTTTCAGGACTTGACATTTCATTGGAAAGAGAATACTATATGGAGGGTAAACATTTATTCTGTGCCAAGTTACATTGTGTGGAGAGCACTAGAGAAGAAAATGAAATCTCAGCTCTTGTCAACATGTCAGTCTATAGGATCAGTGAATTAGAGGGGAAGATTATGTTGGCGTCTGTATCAGAATCAGATTCAAGAGTTCAAGATTATAAAGTAAATGGATCAAAAGTTGATGGAAAGTTTTCAAAGGTGTTTGGAGAGTTGACTGTGTCGTTTACAAAACCTTCTGATTGTTTTAGTACAGTGTTTGGATGTGATGTGTATTACACAAATAAAAGGGGTCTCATTGAGATGAAAGAGAATAAAACCAAAACTGTTGATCAAGGAAATCGTAAGCCGCTGATGTTGATGACCTTAGAGGCTAAAACTTCAGAGTTTGATAAAACAATTGATAGAATGTCTGAGTTTCTAAAAACATTTAAAGATTCAGATAAATTAAACAGTGCTGACTTGAAGATGAATTTACAGTTATTAACAGATGACAAACATTCAAACCTTAGTTATCATAAAACAGAATTAAAAAAGGAGAAGGGTGATGAAACTTTGGTTAACCTTACTAATGCGATGGAAAGTAGATTAAATAGCGTGTTATCTGCCCAAGGATCTACAATTCAGAGACTTGAAAATCAAATGAACAACATTGTTAACAGATTGAACACCTTAGATAACACAAATCAAGAGTTCACGCATTTTAAATACACCTTGACTGAAAAATTACTAAAATCAATTCAACAGATAGAAGCAAACAATAAAACACTTCAAATACACAATATGTCAGTACACAACGTATCAAGACTATACAATACTTTACACACACAACTGGAGAGACTGAACTACAGTTTGGTTAATGTATCACTTGATATACAGAGTTTGTCTCAAAGGTCAAATCAAAGTGAAATTCTAACAAAAACCATGCAAGATTTCAAAAAAGATTTTCTAAATTTAACTAACGAATTGTTAAAAAATAACACAGCGATTTTGGAACAACGTCAAAATATAAGCATTCAACAACTGGGGGAAAGCAACAAATTATTGGCAGAGACACAGTCAAAGACACTGAAGGATTTAAAATCAGCTATATCACTACTAAACAATACAGACACTGATATACATGCCCGTATGGAGAAGATGAATAACATCGTTAAAAACCTGATTACTAAATCAGATCAAATTGGTGTCATAGTCAGTAGATTACATAGATTAAGTGGCCCTGTGTTCAATGAAAGTGAATACGTAAGTTAATTATAATTTGTTTAGGATCAAAATCTGCTATGTTAACGTTAAAGTATTTTATTTAGGCATGGTTTGTTTTTGAATTGGCCTTACATCATTACTTTGCTTAGTTTCGTTAAAAGTTGAAAAGCGTGAATGTTTTTAAATATTTTAACATTCAGATAATATTCTAACAAATGTTAGCGGGTGATTATTTTAAAAGAAAAATGCATAATCAATACATATGTATAAAAGTATGATTTAGTCGAATGTCTTTAAAATAATAATTTCACCACTTTTTACTTCTGCTGCTGCTGTACCTAGAGCGCACATCTATATATATAATTCTCTTCTTGGAGCCGTTAGAAAACAAGCTGCAAGCGCGCCTTTGCAGTCCCCTCTCTTCCTCTCTATCGCTACCCCCCCCCCCCCCCCCCACCCCCCACCACCTCCCCTACGTGGCCTGGTGAGTTGTAGTTCATTCTAAATGTTTACATTTTACAATCATAGAGCCGGGTTTGGTGACGGCTATTAGGGACAGATAATTTAGTTTGAAACGATATTAAAATTAAAAGGAGGTAACTAAGAGGATGCTGCTTTCACTGGGGGGGGGGGGGGGGGGGTGGGGGTTAGTGTTTTAAAGCACATATTTTCAGTGGCAGCATTGGTACTGTCGAATTCACAAATTATGAATTACTGAAAAGTAGAAAAAAACACAACTAAATAGCGGCGTATGATATGCCGCGGGTCGCCTCGTTTACAGAAATTCGTTCCTTGTCTCGACAATGTTTAGAAAGTAAACGATATATTGAATGGGCTATCTTTGTGAAATAACATTTACTCATACTAACAATATTTCTGCGAATATATTTATACTTAAACAAATACAAACACGCACAAACATATATGAGTATATGAATACATACATACATGTGAATGTATATATTCTTCGTAGTTGTGTGATGTGTGGCGATAATGTTTATGTAGTTAATACAATATTATTATTATTAAAGAAAAAGAGAAATGTTTAGCTGTCTTAATATTGTAACGTATATATTTTAATTTCATTCCGTTTCAACTAATAATAATAAATAAACATATTCTAACTTAATTTTACTCCAGTTAAAATGTGCCAACATGAACGATCATGTTTTAGCTGACATGACAGAGGCTGGAGTAGATGTCAGCAGAACATTGTGTGATAACAAAACTGACGGTGGAGGATGGATTATTATACAGGTTAATTTGTCATTTTTCTTAGCCATTCGCCATTTTTCCGATATATTTTTTAACTGTGTTGATGAAAAAAGATGTATGATACACAACGATAGACACTTAGCTACACATTAAAGGGAAAAAAACGTAATAGTTGAACTACATATGCAGAGCTTGTATAATATATTTTATTAGAATTGTTAATATATCTCATCGTTTTGGGGAGAAAAGCTGAATCTAATAGTCTAGTTTATTTTGTTGATCTGAATAAAATTTAGGATATTAAAATAATGTCAACAAAATCAGATTATGTGATAAACTACAATAGTGTTTAGTGCATTTTTTAGACCATGTATTTGTAAAATATCCGTTCTGTTGTATGTATAAAATTGGGGATTTATTTGGCTTCGAGTTGGAACAGAAGCAAACGTTAAAGTTTATCTCGTGATAGTTGTAACTGTCTAATACACAAAGTATTGGAAATATTTTAGAGAGTTAATGTGAAGAATATTAGGTCTTATATAGTAACGACTGCTTTGATTGTATGTAAATTGTTTGTTGTATGATATAACTAGAATCCTAATATATTTCACAGATAATTAAGCCTTAGAATAAATCAAATCAACTCACTTAACCGTAGTTTTATCAATGCTATTATTTCGTAGATAAGCGTTTTGATTATTCAAATAGTTCAATATGTTATCTCGTGCGTAATTTGAAGCATAATTTATCTTTGGAATCAATTATATCAACTTGCTATGACTTTATTGTAGCGGTGCCATTTTTCTTACAGAGACGTATCAAAGGTGATTTGAACTTTACAAGAACTTGGAACGATTATAAAAACGGATTTGGTTCAACATCTGGAGACTTTTGGATCGGAAATGACGTCATTTCTCGCTTGACAGATTCGGTAAGGAAATAATGGCTACTTAAAAAATATGCATGGAAACTGAATTTTGTACTGCACAATGTACATGGCATCACTTAATTTCTTATTCTTTAAAAAAATCACTTTATAAGATACATGTATACTCTAGCTTGTTAGTTTACGTTATGTGATAACTGTTTCCCAAAACATGGGGTCGTTTCAACATCAATTTTTTAATTTGATCATAATTTATTCTACGTGATTTTCAACAAAGGATCTACTTTAAAATTTAGTACTTGCATTGACAATTAAATACATTGTAGTAACTATTATGACACGGGTAAGTACGTATGAAACACGCTTTTTTTGGTTGAGTGATTTTTATGTTTTACTAAAATAAAATATTAATTGACAAATTATAATACATCATCTCAATTGACATAACTTGCACGTATACAACTGTTAAAGGTAGTCTATTAACGGAAAACATTTTTTTTTCTTACTATCGGTAAACAAATGTTTGTCCTATTCATCGCCAGATATCATATTATTTATATTATTATATGATCTTTGAATTGTAGATGAGATACACTTATTTATTTTTTTAAAAGTATATATTTTCTATATAATTATATAAATTTCATTTTTTTCGGGGGGGGGGGGGGGGGCGGTAGAATTTTTTTTTGCCCCGCCCCCCGGAAGAGATGCCTGGAAGAAACTCTGCCACTCTCTTTAATTATCCTCAAGTCATATCCACCTATCATTTCCTCAGATTAACTACCCCTGTAAATTACTCTACTCAACAAAAACTGCATTAGGACACTGACCAATTTTATTATTCAATGGACACCAGTACATAGAGAAATATATAAAATGGTTAGCGATATGTAAGTAAAAGTAAAGTAAAGTTCCCTTTCAAACCTAACGGTCTATGGGGCAAGTGAAGTAGAGTTCACTTGTTTCTATGACCTCGGCATATGAAGAGATAATGTGGTCAGCACTATGCCCAGCCGATATGTAAAGCTTAGGGTTATGAATAGGAAATGGGTAGGAATGGTAAAGGGTATAATTTTAAAGGAGAGGACAGCAATTAAAGAACTAGAGTAATACATTTTAAAGGAGAGGGTATTATTGACTAGCAGTGAATAACTGATTAGGTAAGTGAAGGATATTGTACTACATTTGGCATTCATACGTTTGTTTAATCTATTGCGGAACTAGACAAAAAAAGGGATTCCCCGCAAACAATTTTTGTAGCCTACTTCAATTAATTTAAAATGATCTATTTCCTGAGTAATTTAACATATTTCAATGTGATGTATAACTATACTGAGATAACAAACCAGATACTATAATGTCCAAACTAATTTTGGGCCTAATGTAATCGTGTTTTATAATTTTAAAACAAATACAGAAACATAACATGCCGTTTAGGGGGATATTTACATGGTAGTTAGAGTGATGCATATGGTATAATAAATAAATAGATAAATAAGTAAATAAAAACATAAAATACATTGGGTTTAAAGCATGTTGGTTAAAAAAAGGTGGTCAAAGGCTGGTTTGAAACATTTTACCAAAAACAAGCGTGGAAATTATAACATATAGTAGAAAAGTCGAACATAAAGTAGGTTTAAGTGGATTTCATCCCATTTTGTACAATAAACATCTACGTCAGTGGCGGAACTAGAAAAAAAAGGCTCCCCCGCAAAGAAAAGATTAGGGCCCCCTATATATATATATATATATAAATATATATATATATATATATATATAAATATATATATATATATATATATATATATATATATATATATATATATATATATATATATATATATATATATATATATATATATACATATATATATATATATATATATATATAAATATATATATATACATATATATATATATATATATATATATATATATATATATATATATATATATATATATGTATATATATATATATATATATATATATATATATATATATATATATATATATATATATATATTTATTTATTTATTTATTTATTTATTTATTTATTTATTTATTTATTTATTTATTTATAAATATATCCTAACTGAGTAATTTAGTCTACTTCAGGGGTCGGCAACCTGCGGCTCTCGAGCCGCATGCGGCTCTTTTGATATCAAGATGCGGCTCTTCAGCTCCTTGAACAAATACTAATAATCTTAATTTAAAAATAAAATATTTGAAATAAAAAAAATGTTAGTGGCTCTTTAAAACCAGGGAAATTTTGAAAATTGTAACTTTTGGCTCTTCCGCTTCAAAAGGTTGCCGACCCCTGGTCTACTTCATTGCAATAAATAACCATTCTGAGAGAACAAACCAGAAAAAATTTAGTCCAAACTCATCTAGCTATACCGAACCTTCATTTGAATGCTGGTCAAAAATATATAAAGACGTTAGCTTGATTCGTGAATGGTTTCTCGCGTTATGTTTATTTTTTTCATTTTTGGCTTTTATAATATCAATTTTGAAAACATTGATTTTTATATCTATATTATTGTATAGTACGTCTTATTTAAGTAGCAATTCAGAGAATCAATTGCTTTTTAATATACATAGTACAAAACTATTTAAATGAGCTTCGTGGGCATCCCTATTTTAAAGAAGGGCAGTAAGTCATGGAAGTAGTGTGAATGTTTACCTACCTTTCAAACTACAGCTCTTGTAGATTTTAAAATATTTTTCTACGCAACAATCTCTGCTATAGTAGATCTGTTTTTTTTTTACAAAACCACTTTCAAGATGCATGAAAAACATAATTTTTGAAAAAAAAATTCAATGTTTTTTGGTAGGAACTGGGCCCCTAAACGTCCTGGGCCCCCCCCCCCCCCGCATTGCGGGGTCTGGCGGTATGGTAGTTCCGCCCCTGATCTACGTATATAATTCTCTTCATGGGGACCATTCGGGACAAGACGTAGACGCACGCCGAACCTCCCCCTCTCTCACTCTCCATGCATACCACCCCAACCCTACCAGTCTGGTGAGTTGTTTACAATCGTAGAGCCCGGTCGAATTATTTACGGCTATTAGGGTCAGATAATTTAGGTTTTAAACGATGTAAAAATAAGGGGAGGTAATAACAGGCTCAGCTTGATCTTTTCATTGTCGTCTGTCAACTATCGTCACGGATGGCTGTACAATACTAGCTATACCAGGAAAAAAAAACACAAACAAATCAAAGCTGATGTTCTGGTGGGGTGAGTTCGTTAGGGGGGGGGTGGGGGGTTACCGAACAGGTTGGTATAAGAGCGATTGAGCGGGAGGGGGTAAAGGTTGGTGTTTCAGGGACGATGTTCATATTCGTAGCTAAGATTATTTGACTGCTTAGTACCGACATGTTTTGGGTGGGTAGGCGTGAAGCTATAATGATGTGTGGAGATACGGTCGAGTTTTAAAGGTCACCGATTGGTTAGCAGTGTTCTCATGAAAGAATTTGAATAGTTTTGTACATGTTAATAAAGGTAAACAAAACCATTTTAAGGATGACTTTCAGGATATTCAACTCCATGTGAAAAGATGTGGGGTCTGATGGGGGGGGGGGGGGGGGGGGTAAGATAGACGGATGGGGACATGAGGGGGGTCATGTAAGCTATGGACCAATGGACAGTAGATATAAAATACTATTAAATTAGTGTTAAAACATATCATTACAATGTTTGTTACAATGTTATGTAAATAAAACCGATACAAAAAAATGAGCAATAGAAATCATATTCATACAGAATAAATAGTACGAACAGAGATGGGGCACGAGGGTTGTAGGAGTGGGGGTCATGGGGGCACGAGGGTTGTAGGAGTGGGGGTCATGGGGACAAAAACATCAGAAAGAGGAGCGATTGGTGAGACACCAGAGGCGGTGATGCGTATCTAAGGTGTTGTGATCAAGAAACTCGGAAGCTAAGAGGTAAATATATATTACCCAACCGTAAACCTTATACATTCGATGTTGTAAACCAGTTTAGTATTAAACCGCCGTAGAGGTTGTATACTGATCGAGAAAAAAAATACGATGCTCTTTTAGACACGCTCTGCATTGCTACAATAATGTAGGCTACAACTTGACCTTTATGCATTGCCGAAGTGGAGATAAAATAAATAAAATTCAAGAATTGAACGATGAAGACATATGACAATTATGAGCGGAAGAATGTATTGAATCTGGCTAAAACTGTAAATGGGCTGTTGAAAAAGGGGATACATGGATGGATAACATAAGCTGCAAATGTGGAGATACGTAGTGAATGCAAAGTCTTGACATTTCTGCTATTAACATAGCTTACAATTGTTTACAGTTACTAATACATTCATGTTGATAATTTTATTTAATCTTCATATCCATTGGACTGTGCGTCTGGTATACACATGTCACTGAAATGCTCATTTAAATCATCAGTCATGGCATTGAATATTTAAAATACATTTAAATGGACCTATATTAAGTAACGTGCTATTTTAATGGCGAAAGCATAGTAATTTATTTCGTTGAGTTTTTAAATTTTACAAAACAATAGCTAACTAACGAAACAAATACTATACATCTTCACTTTATATGACGAAGGTGCATTTACTGTACATGTAGTATGTTAATAGATGAATAAATTAACATAGCTCGTTTTTAATTTTATCGGGAAAAAAACTAAGCGTGTTGATCCGTTGATTTAAGAAGTGTTTATTAGATAACCTATATACAGATTAGTTAGATATTTTTAGGAAGGGTAACAAAGCTTATACATTAAAGATCGTGGTTATGTAACGAACTTTGAAGAATATTGACATGCAGTCAGCAGGATATTTTCCGCCGGTCATTTCTTCATCTACCGGTTTTATCAACAGTTCTATTCCACACCCTCCCGCCTGCCCTCACCTTAATTATATTAACCCCATTACACAACATACATATAGAGATACACATTAGATACGTTGTAAGACTTAGAATTAGGGCTATTGAGCCTATCAAAAGAAGGAAAAGTACATTAGTACATATGTAAGGGGAGATTGTTTTATTACCTGCTAGCGTATTACAACGGCAGGTAATGTAAGGAGATTAATGAAAAGGAGGGAGTTCTAGAAAAGTCATACGTAAATTGAATATCAATAGTATTTCTTGCAAGGGAATATATTTTTAAGTTGCAATGTAAGCAGGCAATAGATAATGTAATATTTCCTTTCTGAACAGACGTCTTTTGTTTTAATGATGGGATAGATACACGAACTATCAAAATAAGTTGATTTAATATGTTCTTTTTGCAAAGAAAGTTTCAAGCAATGTGTGTTTTATTGTAATAATGTGTTTTGGAAAATTGTGCATATTGTTTATAGATTTTCGTTACGTTTTTTTAATCAATATGTATAATTATCATATAGTATAGACTATAGAGGGATCAATACTTACACTATTTCAAACACAATGCAATATCTAAATATTTCTAATTTTTTGTCTACCACAGGGTTATAATGAACTCAGATTTGACATGAAGTATAAAGGTAACGACTTCTACGCTGTGTACAGAGGTTTTAAGGTAGAAAATGAAGCAGCAAAGTATAAGATGAGCTACACGTCATTCACTGGTGGGAATGTTGTAGACAATTTTAGTTATAACAAAGGCCAGAAGTTTACAACCATTGACTCTGATAACGATATGTGGTCAGGTGAAAACTGTGCTGTACACAATAGAGGTGGTTGGTGGTATTTTGATTGTCACTTTGTTAACGTCAACGGTGAATGGGCGAGTCGTGTTCATGCGAAAGGAATTAATTGGCATACCATTACAGGCTGGTCTGACTCTCTAGACTTTGTTGAGATGAAACTTCGTCGAATGTAAACAACCCCAAAACAATGTTATGGTAAAATAATGGATATACAGTAATCAAATGATTTATTTAATCTTCAGGAACATAAACAACATTTCATATATTAAAATAAATAGATGTAAACATTTAGATAAGGCAATATTTGTTCGATGGTGAGTCTACATAAGAAGTTAAAATTAACGAACATGAAACTAAACATTTGATTAAAAAAAAATTATTTTAAAAACTACAACTGAGTTTGTTTTGCTATTATTAAAACAGGAAAAAAACCCGACTATGATGGTGTCATTTATTTCTTGCATATTCATAACTAGACTAGTAGTGTAGTTGTCATCTACCTCTATATATTTAATTAGACATTCACTCGGATCGTGTGAAGTTCAACTCTAATAACGTGTGTAATGTTTGTGCAATTTTTTAAATATTTTTTTTCGCATAGTTTTTCGAAAGATGTATATATGACATCTAACATAGCATAAAGTAGATAGTAACTGTTAATTTGGGATCTGTAAAGCTTTGTATTATAAATGTGAACATTTAAGTAAATCCTTTGTTTAAGTAGTTAATATATTATCTAGTGTATGTCATATCGAGCATGTTTCATGATTTAGAATTGTCTACTATCACATATAAGTACATATTAGTACAAAATAAAAGTATAATTCTGAATATGTTTGTATTACTGAGATTGGAATATTCTTTCATTATCGTTTTCAAGGTACATAACTATACTCTCTCAAATCAAGTGGGTAATTTTAATTGTTATTTCCCGTGAACAATTTAGTGTCGTTTGTGTTCCATACCTTAGGCTAGAGAAATTTCCAATTACCTAATTTTATAATTGTATTTGTTTAGTATGTTTACATGGACACAATTAATGGAAAGCAATTATATGCATTTACATACATCTTTATTATAACGTGCACTTAATTTTTATATCAAGCCTCCCTTTGTGTAGTTTAAGGAATTGTTTGGTTTATATATTTACAAATACATCCGTTTATACAACTTATGGTTAATGTGTTATTTCATGTTTTGTTTTTTTCGTTTATTTTTTTAAACACATAATAAAATCTTCTGAATTATCAAACATATAATAGCTGTCGTTATTTTTAAAGTAATGAAGGCAATAAGGACCAAAGCTAATTGCAGTGTGTAAATGAGTCCACACAGCTACGATGGTACTTTACTCACTTTATAGAACGTACACACTGACCACGTTTTTCTTACTTATGTTGAGATTACAGAACCATGTTAACTCTATATAATTGAACTGTGTTCAGTTTGTGATCCTAGGATAATTCAATATTTTTATTAACTTAATGTTTCCATTTCTATCAGTATTTTGTCATACAAGATACACCTGCTGATGTGGTCTGTAAACCCTGTAAGCTTGTCAGTTCCTCTAACGTGAATGTTTTCAATACAGGTCAGACCTTCCGACACCAGATCACTGCTGACAAGATTTTACCTTAATGTTATTTTTTGTATTAGCTCGAGTATTAGCTTTATTTTTTTATCTCTGGTCCTAGCTACCAGTTGATTTTAGCATCGTGCATTTATTACTTTTCAGAATTCCCTTTAACAAGTTAGATGGTGTATAATGAGCTTAAAACGGTAATGCTAGTGTGTTAGAATTGAGAGATTAGCTTGCATTCTGAAGGCGTGTGTATGTGTGTGTTCCCAGAGTATTGCTGCTATCAAAGACATTTGTAGGCTGTCACGGTAGGGGGAGCGTGACTGGGTAAAATGGGATACGAAGGTTCTATACGGCGTCAAACGTACAGACAAGGGGAGGCTACTGAAAAATATTTGTGGCACAGCCTAAATGTAAACCACTCAAGGCGATGTCTTCCTGGTCTAGATCTTTCGAGTTTACCTGTTCTAGAAGTTGAGCGCTCGAGTAGAAAATGTACCGCTGGATATCCAGTGTTTTTTTAACTAATCTAAGAACAGTCACGTTCTATATAAAACTATGATGGATTTAAAATTGGATTTATTAAACCTTACACATGAGTATATAAAAATTAAGCCCAAAACTTTGCTGAGATTTAAAACAAAAGTATGAAAAAGCTGGAGGAAAAGCAAGTACAATACGAAGCACACATAAAATCGATGAGGAATTTGATAATGAAAGCATTAGATCTGAACTATTCAGACACTTAAAAGCTAATGGTATCGATGTTTTAGTAAATAAATTGCTAGGAACTAATGTATCTAGCCTAAACAAAAGAGACCAAGTAAGTTTTAATTATTATCAAATGATATCTTCAAGATTCCACGAAAGGAAATTGAACTTTTAATTTTCACTGTCTTTTTTACTACACGCACGATTAAACGGAGAAAACATTTGGATTAAAGAAAAATCCTTTATTATTTAGGCCTATACTAAACTGTTTTTAAGTAGGTGTGATATTAAAGGGATATGACTGCGTCTAGAATTTGAACTTTTAATTTCCCCAGTTTTTTTTTAATTCACAAAAAACAATAACAACATGCAGATAAAAAGGGAAAAATAAGTAATTTAAAATTGATTAAAATTATATCTATATGCCGATTTGCTGTCACCCGTAGTGTTACATCAGTATATTGGAGAAAGTTTAGGGAAGATCAATCCCGCTTTAATTTTAGCGTAGCACGATGTAAAGCTCTCGAATTTGTCTTAAAATATTCTGTAAAAGAACATACGTATGTTTTTTTTTTAACATTTCCTTTTCGCCATGGCTATAATATAAACAATTGGAGCAAAGTCTATAAAAGTAATGTTTATGAGGCTAGCGGTCAGGCCCTTTGGGTTCAGAGGTCACGCCAGCCCGCGTCTTCTGTGTCACATGCTATGATAGTGGTCTGCCAAGAAAGCTCTATTTTTGTAGAGCTGATTGGTAGAAGTGGTTACACGTCTGACTTGAGGCATGGAAGGCGAAGCTCTTGGTGCCGTGTGGAATGGTAGGTTCGGAACCCGTCGGGTCTGTCTGTTCTGTCTTTACTTGGACTATATTCTGTACCCTTGGCGTTGAAATAACACTTTATGTTTATATTGCTAAAAGTAAAAGAAATTTTTCCGTAAACCAGAAAAAGCGTATGTTTTTTATAAACCTCTAGATTGATTTTCGAAGAAAATTGAATATCATATAACTTGTAATGCATAGAAGAAATACTATATAACTTTGTTAATATGACGTAAAATATATTATATTCAACTTATCTGACAACATATAAGAGTTTTTTTTAATCAATAAAGCGTTCATTAAATCAGTCATGAAAACCTGACCTTAAAAACTTCATAAAAACGACTTAATAACAAGTGTTCATGTACTAAAGAGCAAGAAAAACGTATGAATAAATTATCAAAACCAAAGGCTATTTAAGCGTGTTAAAATATGCTAATATTTGTGTGAACCAATTAGAATATATTACATATTTACCAAAATAAAGTGCATTTCACTGTGTATATATTCATAATTAGTTGCATGTTGACTCTACCCCGGAAATTTTAAATGTCCCCCCCCCCCTCGCCCCGGAGAAAAAATTCTGAAAGAAACACTTGTAACGAATATAGTTAGTAATACTCGTCAACGTTTACGATGTGTTTCTTCCAGACTTTTTTTGTGACTCTCGGAAGGGGGGGGGGCAATAAAGTTTCTGGGGAAGGGTGGGCGGACACTAGTAAAAGTATATATTTTATACATAAATTGCATTTCGTTCGGGGGGGGGGGGGTAGAAACTAGTCTAACCAGTTGAGTTTGAGTTCAGCCTAATTCTCATTTTAGATTTGTTAACACAAGAACAAACTAGTTTTCTTTCCCAAAAAAGTTGCTGTCCCCAGCTAATGAGCCTCATCTGCCCTGCTCCTGAACCCGGGAAGTAGGAGTTAGTGAATCCCACGGTCTCCCGCCCCATCCCGCCGTTTCCCGAGAAGCTAATGATAGGGTTGATTAAAAGCTGATAGTGTTGATTAAAAGTTGATAGTGTTGATTAAAAGTTGATAGGGTTGATTAAAAGCTGATAGTGTTGATTAAAAGATTAAAAGTTGATAGGGTTAACTAAAAGTTGATAGTGTTGATTAAAAGATTAAAAGTTGATAGGGTTGATTAAAAGCTGATAGTGTTGATTAAAAGTTGGTAGGGTTGATTAAAAGCTGATAGTGTTGATTAAAAGATTAAAAGTTGATAGGGTTGATTAAAATTGATAGGGTAGATTAAAAGTTGATAGGGTTGCTTAAAATATCGATAATGGTCTCAATTATTTATTAAAAACAGAATTTGAATTTGAAAACACAAAATTGTGAACTTTCTGTAAAATACTATACGAATTCTACTCTAAACACTTTTTGTTTAAGATTCACATGAGAAATAAAAAATTAAAGAACCTTAACCGGCTAAATGTAATTGGATCATATGTTTTTATTCGGTTGCTTCCCTTTGATGGTAAAAGTAAAAGTTTCCCTTTCAAACCTGACGGTCTATGGGGCAAGTGAAGTAGAGTTCACTTTCTAGTGACCTAGTCCATAAATGACGCGTTTTTGACGATTTTTACCTCCCCGTCCCCTCCGTCACACGTCGTCACAAAAAGCCAGACCCACCCCCCTAAAATGACGTCATACCTCAGCCTACAACACCCCCCCCCCCCTTAAAAATGCTATTAGTTTACTTAAAACATCGATATTTTACCAAAACCTTGTCAGAACTCTGCAACAGAGTATTTTGATCAATTCCTATTACAATTTATTAAAACCGTTTTCTAAACGCGAAATAACGGCTAAAACTCGTTTCTAGCATTGCTTTTTTTTATATTGCAAAAGTGTGACGTCACACCATCTAACACCCCCCCCCCCCCCTCCCCTTCCCTTTCATCTCACTCCGTCACAAAATTACGAACCCCGCCTCCTCCTCCCTTCTAGTGTGACGTCATTTATCATTTATGGACTACCCCATGACTTAAATTCACTTCTTTTATTTTTTTTATTTAACCAGAATTGTTCTAAAGACAAAACGCTTTTTTTTCAGTAAAGATACGACTCTAGAGAATGAAACCCAATTGATCATTCAACAACAAAGTACCAAGCCCAATCTCTTTGTTCTCAGGAAAATTGAATGCTACCGGAAATGACCCTAAAAATACTTGTGGTTCACAAGGTTAAATGGATGCCGCTACAGCCCCACACTCACGTCTGCCGGAAGTTGAGTCTGGAGCATGCTGGGTAATTCATGCTAGGGATTGTGGGACTTTTTGTGACCATCAGGGCATGAAAGCCCAAGCTGTAGAGGGCTGGGACATGAAGTAGACACCCATGTAAATAACTGATTGCATTCGCTAGGCTGGTTTTGTTTTCTAGAATCCTACAAATTAAATATGGTAGAAAAAAATTATGAAATAAATAATATCAACTAGACGAAAACATAGTAAACTTGAAGATGTTGAAGCACAATGACGGAAATGGGTGTGTTTTGTTCACAAACACAAGATGAATACATGAACAGGCATTTGCTCTAAAAACATTTTATTAAAAATGCTTTTATTTTCCAATAAAACAAATAACATTAACATGTGTGTGAATGTTTTTTCTTTAGATAACACACACACACACACACACAAACTCACACACACACACACACACACACACACGCACGCACGCACACACACACACACACGCACGCATACACACGCACGCACGCACGCACACACACACACACACACACATATATATATATATATATATATATATATATATATATATATATATATACTTTTTTTCCAATTTAAAACAAATACAACAACATTCCACGCCGTTAGGGTTGATATTCACAAGGTAGTTACATTGATGTATAGAGTATAGTAAATAAATAGCGAAATATTAAGTACATGAATACAAAAGATACATTGAATTTATAGCTAGTTGGTTCAAAAAATGGAGGCTGGTTCGGAACATTTGTGCCAACAAAAGTTAGAAAGAGTATAACGTATGGAAGAGTAGTCGAAAACAAAGCTATATTTGCATAGATTTCATCCCTT